TGTCTCTTGAACAGCTGCCGTTGCAAGCAATGTTAACCATATTTAAAGATAGCACTAGCGATTCAGAGGGTCTCCTAAGGGGGAGTAATCTATTATTTTATTTACTCCATAAGTCTTTGCTACCTGCCAAAGGATTGCACGAACAGTTGTTGCAAGTTTCCATGGACTTTGTCCAGGGATTCCAAAACATTTATCCTCAAAAACTCTACAGTCAAGAATGCCAAGCACCAGTGCAACCGGCAGGGCGAATTTGTACCAGAGGCAATGGCAACTTTGCGTTTGAAGCTGCTAGAAATGTCAGACCTGTGCACCTGGGAGACTGCTGGACCGTAACCCACGTTGGCGCACATTGTCATGCCCGGTGCGAATAACGACGCGCATAACAAAACTCGACTCCGAGGGCAATGTTGGGAAAGTATGCGATCTTCCCTTTGCATATTATTTTATCACTTCACAAACACTGAGGAATGGAGAGAGGAAGGAACTTTCACAACCTCGCACACAGCTATCCGCCCTGTGTAAGAACAGCTTTTCAGCTCTCGACCAGTGAGAAGTGGCAGAAGCCAGTCAGGTATGAAATGTGGCTAAAAGCAGGTTGTTAGAAGAATTATGTCAAGGTTTTGCGCACAACATGAGCTGTTGATGGAAGGAGGTGGTAAAAGAGAGGTGTTGCGTTTAGTGCCGCTTCTTTCTGTCCGGTAGTTTTACCCAAATATGTAAATGTCAAGCCTGTTTTAGTTTCCTTCTTAGCCAGGAAAAAGTAGGTACGTCAAAACAACCGAGGCGGTGATGCTCCCACACTTCTGCTAACACACTCCAGAGTGAAGCAATTTCGCAAAACTTTTTCTTTGCTAAAATTTGAGGACATAACTCCTCTCAAGTCCTCCAAAAAGAATACATTAATCTCTCGAGAACAACAACTACTACCTACTGTCACTAAATTTAGCCCATTTGATTCGAATAAGGATGGAAGGGGATTTCATTTGCCATCAAATTGTCCGCAAAATGTGCGAAGAAAGGCAACTGGTACCTGAGAACGATGCAATTTGCCTCGGGTCGTCCAGTTTGTGCAGGCAAGGGTAAAATCATGGAATGTGAGGGAGCCAGTTTGACGTTTTCGGGAACCTCAATGCCTTGTAGCAAATTAACCATTTCGCTAAACGTCGTCTTTGATTTTCAAAAAGATAATTCTGAGGATGTTAACTTCTGGTTACTCTTTTGCATCTAAATAAAATTCCACCTTTTGGGGCACACTAAAAAGCTCAAATGAGTAAAATGGACCTTCAAATTCCCACGAAAGCACTTTTTAGAGTTTGTAAGCTAAAAAGACTCAAAATCAGTGACAGTGGCATTCCATCTCGAAACCGACCAAAAGCACACACGATGGGAGAATCCAATTTCCCCACACTTGTTCATATTCATTTGATAAACATTAGTCAAGACAACAGATTCTGTGGGATGTGAGACTCCCAACAAACGGGGTGTAGCTTTAGATTACGCAGTTTTTAGATTGCGCAGTTTTTGTCACTATCATCATTACCCACTATGGGGAAACTCTTTAATCATTACAGAATGTTTACTGGACTTACCACCGCCACACTGGGATTGAAGCAGGAGTAAAAATTAAAAAGCAAATCCACGACTCTTAAAGTTCAATTCAAGCTCCACATTGGCATCAAATCAACTGGGAGGATAAGTAAAACGATGCTCGCTTGCCTATCATCTGATGGTTCTACCCGCCTGAAAAGCCGTAAAAATGATGCCTCCCCGTATTGCAGCATCAACAGCGGAGTGTGAACGCAAAAATATGCTAGAACTTAAGCAATAACTATGCTGAGATATGGGCAGCTAAGAGGAGATCGTGTCGTTCAGTTAGATACGACTATGCATTATCAACAAACTAGCCAAAACTAGAACAATCTTTTGATTTTTTTATTTAAAGTGGTGTTTTTTACCTTTGATAAACCCTATTTTAATTAAAACATAACTTGCGTAAATCGTAGTTATTTTTAAGTTTTGAACAGACCAATGCGAAGGTCAGCCTTAGGCGGCATAAAATGGTGCAAAAAGGCTAGCTTATCAAAAGACGTACGAGTTGACGAAGTTTTGGGGTAGCGCCCGAAGGACTCGTAGGCGGTCTCTGTGACGGCGACTGTGGCACGGACCTCGGCTGCTGCGCTGCCGCCAATTGGAGGTGGCTCCGCTGTTGCGATGGTTGGTACTGTTGTAGTTGCTGCTGCTGCGGGGGCGTGGCCACACCAACCGGCGCAGCCCTCCCCATTGGCTGATACCCTGTAAGCTGCTGATTGGCTTCTGCTCCCATCGGATAAGCGGCCCGGTCGATAGGTTTCCCCGCATTCTGCACGTATTGACGCTGCTGCGGTTGTATTTGCTGCTGCACCTGAATCTGTTGCTGTGACGATGGCTGGCTCACTCTCATCACTTGGGCCTGCACGGGGGTTGAGGAGACCTGCGTGGGCTGGTACATAGTTTGCTGGGGCTGATACGTCGCTGTTTGAACCTGTGGCTGCAAGACTTGGCGCGAAGCTACGTGGATCTGCTGTTGCGGCGGACTACTATAGGCTTGAACTGACTGCACTTGATAGGATGTCTGTGGTGTGTACTGTACCATGCGTGTCGTCGATGCTGACTGAGGTGGGTAGTATTGAGCCTGACCAGGAGACGACTGGTATTGTATTTGACTGCTTTGTGGTTGATACTGGGTTGCTGGGGTTTGAGCCTGGGCAGAGCTGGCGTAAACTAAACGCGATGACGATTGCTGCGATGGTGAGTAGAATAGCTGTGGCGATTGAGGTTGGCCCTGGGATAAGCTTTGATACTGCGGTGTGGCCTGTTGTTGCTGATACGAGGCGCCCACTGTGTAGACCTGTGGACTATTTGGAACTGCAGATGAAGTATATTGAGTGGGCTGTACGGTGTAGAAATTTTGCTGTGGCTGTTGTGGGTTGTATGTCATAGAAGACGTCGTTGTCGATGCATTTGACACTTGTTGTGGATGGTATTGTGCCTGGCTTCCGGAGGCATAGTAGACAGGTTGCGTAGCACCACTCCCAGATGGCTGCACGAATTGACTGCCGGCTTTTACAATGTGTACGCCCTGGGGCGGGGTCATTGGAGTTCCAGAGTAGTAAACAGTTTGTGGTTCCATCTGCTGCAAATGGAATCGCAAAACTGGTAATCCCTATCTGAGTAAAGAAAAGTGAAATTTAAAATGTTTTGTGCGTTCTTAAGCAGTAATATTTTGCTTTCTTACCTGTAAGTTCAGATATCTCATCAAAGTGGCATTTGTTTACAAATATTTTTGGAAGGAACTGGTTTACATCCTCATCTTAACAACACCATACTTATGCAGTTTTTCTTAATCAGATATTAGCAAGCCTCTGGCTGCCATCCCACTTATAAAGCAATTCTGCTCATGCATAAGTGGTGTGCACAAGGCGCCCACAGGCGAAATGTGAAGATGAAGCTCTCAGTAAACAATTGCTCCTTTAAAGAATCATTTGCGTGTTCTGAGTTCATGGATGTGTGGACCATCTTGGAGGTTTCTATAGGAATAGCGTTTTGCATTGACAGCTAAGTAGCATCTACTAAATGCAGTTGAATTCATAAACGAAGCCTTTAAGTCATTTAATAGCTACTGAAGGCAAGTTCCGGTCCAGGGTGATTCGTAAAGCAACCAACGCCTTGTTTTGCAAGTGAATAGCGCGGCGTCAGTTTCCGTAACTCGTGGTTTAAGAAGTGTAAAGCACTTAGTGACGCAAACTATTTGGCCGACCATTTTGGACAAAAGCAGAAGTGTTCTACACCTCGCTGACTGGTGTTTGAATACTAGAAGTTGAAGGCATAAAAAATATGGGTGGAGGAGACATAAAATGTCCAACTTACAAAATGATTTAAAAGCAACTGTTGTTAGCAAAAAAAGTGTGCGCTTGAAAAATAAGGTGTCCAGAACGGCTGTTTTTTCTCATTAAACCATTGCCGCCTCGTTGACACCCTACGCCTCCGAGATTAAAGCCAAAATGGTAGCGAATACTACACCCTTTGTGCCAAATCGTATTACAACTAGGTTGACTGAGTTTAAAAAAGATAAGAGATGGCTTACCATTGAATGTCCGATCTTTTGGACTGAGTACAATAGGCAAAAATTGATCTCGACGACTCCACAGTCACTAGACACCCCCACATGCATCGATGATCGAAGTACCTCAAAATTACTCTAGCCACTTAAAAACGGTGCTTTCTTAACCTGTCTTGTAACCAGGCCTTTACGGAAGCTTCTGTTTTTTTACTGACAGCTTCATAGGTTTTAAACCTATCAAGAGTAAATAGCCAGCCTGATAAAGAGCAACATGTTCTGCAAAAGGGTTTCTCGTCCGCATTTTATTTCGTTTATTGCATTGTTAGCACCGCTCTCTATGTACTTCATGGGTATGAGTTTTGGGTCTTCGACTAGTACATAACTTACTCAATATTTATGACAATGAAAGACGCCAATAATAGGGAAGCAAAAATGTTGTATGTAAAGTTAAACTTTCTACTAAAATTAATTAAGTAAAGTAACTTTTATTCTGACAGGAATATCTGAAATGCATTTCTTGCTCTCAAATAAAAGTTAATCCATTTAGCTCAATTTGGTAATACAACTTGCAGCCTAAAAAAGTGCTGATCACAAGTCGCATCCCACTTCCTGCCTCGCGCCGCACCACGAAACTAAGTTAGCGCAGTTTTTTATATCTTTTATATATAATTTATTTGTTGAGAATTTCTGTTATAAACTAGTGCTGCTTTATTCGTTCCACTTTGTTTGATGTTTAATGTTTCAGACAACGATCAGGGGAAAGTCTTAAGTCAAAACGCAGTCCCTAAGCTCGTCAATGGATGAATACACCG